AGATAACAGTCAGCTGAAGTGGCCTGCAGTACTGCACCCTAACCACTGCGCCACCTCGGCTCTAATTAAGATGTGGATGCAAAAGAATTAACTATGCTATATGTTTAAAATTTTATGTTTTTAGAAAAGCCACAGTTTCTACCTAATATTTATATTCAAGTTGATATAAAGTCATATAAAGTTGATATGAATCAAATTCAACTCCTGGTGACTTATATCACGATAACAATGAAATTACCTTCGTGTAGTATGATAATGATTTGCTATTGCATTTCTTCCAGGATATATATTTAACTCCCTGAAGTTTAACAGATTGTTGTCCCAAATATGCTTTTACAAGAGGCAACTGGACCTTGTTTTTTTTTTCTTTGAAGACCCTTTGAAGGGACACCTGAGTATGACAGAGATAAACCTCCAAGTGCTTCAACGACCCTCTAAAAGGATGCAAACGACCAGCTGTCTGCAAGGAATATCAATCCTTCCATTTCCCACTATCCTGTCAGAGCTGAAGTCGCTTCTTGGATGAGAAGCAAAAAGTCTTCAAAGGAAAAACAAGAAAGTCCAGTTGACTTCTGAAAAAGTACCTTTGGGACACTCTGTGAGTGGTTTATAATGTTAGCATATTGACCCAACAATCTGGCTCCTCATTTTACCAATCTTGGAAGGAGAGAAGGCTGAATCAACCTCGAGTCCTGTCAGGCTGTTAGCCTGCAATACTGTGTTCTAACCACTGTGCTGTTGATAGCATAGTGAGGTAAACCCAAGAAATAGGGTTAGTATATATTAGATCAATAATAGATCAGCTATTATTAGTAGATATTTTCTACTAATAAGTGGTAGATATTTTCTGAGCAACTGATGACATAGAGAGAGAGAGAAACTAAACTGGGGAAATCCAACAATCCTTCTTTGAAATTTCTTGTATGTATTTTAAAAAATAGCACAGATCATTCGCCAATTTTACAGTTGTGGCAGGACAGAGGTCACCAGTGAGGGCAAAAAAGTACATATTGTCTAGTATTGAGGTATGTAGCTCTTTAACTTAGCCATAAGAAAAAAATCCATAAACTGGAATAGATAAATCAATCCACCATATGATATGTCTGCATAATTCTGTATCAAAATTATTAATATTATTATTCTTCCTCCTTTGCTGCCATCTCCTCTTCTTTCTCCTCTTCCTCCTCTCTCCCTATTCCTCATTCAGTATATTTTAAAGTGGAATTATATTAAGGTTTCTTGTTTGGGGAGAAGAAAATTTCGGCAATGTTTCCAGAGATAAACTGGAATGTATGAAAAGCATGTCCTACTAAGTCCATCTTCCCTTCTTTAGTATTTACTTGAATGAATTATTTTCCTTTTTTAATTCCTTTTTTAATTCTTTCACTTGCAGTCTGATGTCTTCTAGTCTTCTTATGCATCAATTAAACCCTACAGGAAGACTACTAAGAAAAATCTTCCTAGGGGAGTTCTTTCCTCTTTCTTGGGCAAAAAATAACTTTCAGAAAGCCAAGTTGACACAGTGGTAATTTTCTAAGCATTAACCCGCAAATCTATTCCCTTTTGATGCTATCTGAAATGGCACATTTCTTTTAAAAATACATTATTTATGTTTAAATGGTACTTCTCTTAACATTTATTTTCTATTTCTTTTCTCCCAAAGTACAGAATGTTTAATTTTTTATTGTTAATTATTTACTTGAATGAATTATTTTCTTGAAATAAGAATGACATTGGAACATTAAAAACATGTGAAGCACCAGTGGAGATACAGTTCTAACTTGCTCTTTTGCGAGTTGTATCTGTTCTGTGAGCTCCTGTCTCTTAGCATTATACCCCTCTAGAAATCCTCTTTTTGCCCCTCGTTTTCTTTTTTGTGCCCCCAAATTCTTGCAAATGAATCAGTGCTCAGCCACTCACAAATCACCCAGCTTGTGAAAAAGGTGCATCTTGACAAAGGCATTTCCCTCCCGAGGCTCAGACCAGGTGCAGTCGATTTGTGATTCATAGTCATTGGAACAGCTCAAGGTTTTCTTCAGATGGCTCTCTAAAAAGAAAAAGAGAATATTCCTAAAGACATTAAAGTGCTGTCTTGGGTTTTGCTCAGCAAGAGCAAAAGCAGCAATGACAAGAAATGGATATAAATTTTTTTTTAATGTTATTTACTTGGGCATTTAAGCACTATTAAGGAATACCAATTGGTTGTTTTTTTTCAAGTGCACCATTTTGAGAAAGATAGTTCAGATATACACACAAACACATATACAGAAATTTTGTTTAATTTTATACCATTGTACAAAGTTTTTCCATTCTAAAATTGCCCTTTAAAATTCAAATGGAACAGAAAGAAAAATTAGAAAGACACAGGATAATATAACCAGAAAGACTGATAAGAAGAATAAGTTGAATGTATCAAAAGGGGAAAATAAACATGTACACCCCAGAAGGAGATAAACGGCCATCACTGAGAATGCTTGCTTCTAGCTGTCCTTGCCCATATTTAAGCATGAGAAAGCATGTGGAGCAGAACCTTAGAGAATGATCTAAGTGCAGCATTCACTTTTTAGAATCCAATTCATCTCTCATATGATTAATATTTTCCAGTTGTTGGCCAAGGGCTCTGTATGAACCAATCTCCTAACTGATAGAAGATGTTCAGAATGTGAACCTTTTCTCCAGCTCTGAACATACAAATAGATTTTTAACAAAAAAAAAAAAAGCCACCAGTGAAGTAAAAATAGTTGTTCTTCTCCAGCCTTGTGTAGCCATGAACTTTTGACAAACGTAACAGGGAGGAAGAGTTTGCATCTTTAAAATTATATGAGCTTCTTTCTTCAAAAATTGAAAAGCCAATGCCTATGTTTGGATGCATGCATGTTAACTCTCTTATTTGATTGTGACCCTAAATAATGTGATCTGGACAGGTAACTGGACATGGTTCCACCACAAAACCGCGGTAGACTAAAGTGCGCTCGACGAAAGCGCGTACGTGATGTCATCACAGCGCGATGAAAACAGCACGCTGTGAGCGGTAAACTTAAAATTAACGCGTAAATCTAAACCTAACCCCCCCAAACCTAACCCTAAACCTAACCCTAAGCCTAACCCTTAACCTAACCCTAAACCTAACCCTATACCTAACCCTTAACCTAACGCTAAACCTAACGCTAACCCTTAACCTAACCCTAAACCTAACCCTAACGCTTAACGTAACCCTAAACCTAACCCTAACCCTTAACCTAACCCTAACCCTAACCCTAAACCTAACCCTTACCTTTATGTAAATCGGCTTGCTTTAGAAGCACTTTTTAAAGTGCCCTTTTTTCTCCACGGTCGTATTTATCGCGCTGCTGATGACGTCAGGTATGCGCTTTAATCAGGCGCGTTTTAGTGGATCGCGGTTTTGACGGGTCACGACTGGACATAACAAGGTCACATAGACATCCCAAAAGAAGGGACACAAATTGGACAGATTACCCATTACTGTAGGCATAAATGTTACAGTAAAAGGCTTCTCACAGAGAGTGTAAATGGCAAAACAGCCCTTTGAAGAAGAGGGTGTCCCTGTACCTTGTATGATGTTTTGGGTAGGAGCTCTGCTGGGAGAAAACCAGGAAGATAAGGCTGATCGAAAATATTTTGTCCCCTGAAGCTGAGAACTTGCTTCATTCTTTTATTAGGCATGTGTTTCAATTTACTTATTGTGTTTGAATACCACTATAATCTAGACAGATTCCCAATAATTAACATTGACATACAATAATATAACTAAAACATCCATTTTATAAAGCTAGATTAAAGCTAGACCCAGATTAAATACATTACAAGAATCTTGTAATCTTGTATTTTGTAATCAAAATAACCATGTAATATAATATGGTGGACCAATATAATTTCCAATGACTGAACACAGGCAGAAGCATCTAAATTTCCATACACCCTTTGCAAGAGTTCCGTTTCAATAACTTCCCAAAAATTATAATATCAGAGGCCATTCAAATCTCTATTGGGGGCACTGTTCCAGGTCATAGGTGCTCCTACTGAGAAACTATGTTTCTGAGCACCTTACTGCAGTTTTATCCATTACTTCACAGACGTGGGGAATTAGATTATATCAATTTGATTCTGAGCAAAAAAGACAGCCCTGGAAGTATCCAGCTGTCAAACTTTGTAGGCTTTATTGAATTACATATTGAATTATATCCAGAAACCAATTGACATCCAATACAGAGCTCACAACATTGATGTAATATGCTCATAGTGAGGAGTGCCAGCTAACAAATCGGCCATCAAATTCTGCCCTAATTTAATCCCCTGGATGGTTTTCAAAGGCAGCCCTATGTAGAGGATCTTACAGTGGTCTATATAAGTAATTACAATGGAGTGAGTAGTCATCAAAGGTCTCTCTTGCTCCAAGTAGGGCTGCAACTGATAAGCCATCCAAAGCTAGACAAAAATGTTTGTGAGAGTCCACCTGCCCATCCAATAGCAGCCACAAATTTAGAAGAACCTTCAAGTTACAGTCTAGCTTCTTAAAGGGCCGAGCTTCCTTATCAAGAGACAGTACTGGAATTGGCAAAATGCATCACTGCACAAAGCAACCAAGCTATTCTATTTGGATCCAGATTTAGCCTGTTTTGTCCCATTCAATTCTGGCAATTTCCAATGACAAATGTGTACACAAATGTGTAGTATCATCTGTATGCTAATGGTGCTATATCTTGAACTTCCAGATGGCATTCTAAGTACATTCATATTAATGTTGAAGATTGGTGGTTGAGGGGGGAGGGAATCTCTGTCCCATAAAACCACCATTTAAAACTACCCATTAAAGCAGGAACTCAAGCCTTTGCAGTTTGTCCAGAAGAATATTATATCCATGGTATAGTCTGCTCATTAGTCTCATCCAGATCCCAACTGTTGTCATCTATTGTGGCAATTATATTGTCAAGCCCCATGCAAGTTGAAGGGCTTGACACTATCAAGGAAGCAAGAGCTACACAGATTTCAGTAAAGTATCTTTAAGATAGGTAAGAATGTTGCAAATTATAAAAGAATCCTCCCACTTTTTTTACGGTGTGTTAATTAAGGTGGAATTTCTCTGAATTATTTAAAAAGATTTTCCCAAGTTTCTTTCTAACTCTCTAAATAGCCATTTATGAGCTAAACTGTCAACCAACTCATGCTTTTCTTTTGATAGTTTACATCTATCCTCTTTCCATTCTTTTCCATATCTCCTCACTAGACAATAGTTGTTAATTCAAGGAGTGCCTCTTAAGAAAAAAGAACATTATAATCTTATTCAAATCTAGCTGGCACCATTCCTTGCTGGAGTGATGTTTTGATAATTTCCCAGCTTCAGCTTGTCACTTTCTCCAGCTCCACATAAGAGCTAGGTGGGACATGGCTCCAGCCCATAAATGGCTGAGGATGTATCAAATAGCATCATCCATCAGAATCAGAATCCCAGCTGACATGGCAAGACATTACTTCAGTTACCACATTGACTTCCACCCACAAACAGTCGAGATTTTTGTTAATCAATTTAACAGCAAAAAGCTACAAAAATATTTTCAGTGGATGGGCAGGAAATCCCTCTGTGATTGCCACCTCAGAAGGGAGTTGCCAACATTCTCTGGAATGTTGCTATGAGGGACTATGATGGTGAGTCTTCTCTATTCATCCACCTTTTTTGAAACAACAATATCTTGGAGATCAGGGTACCTCAACATTGCTAGGATTCCAGAAAGTCTTTTAGATCTAACTTCCAGTGATTTATGAGGGGGACACTGGTCACCATCTGTCTGACTTCAAACTGAATGAGAATCTTTCCAAGCATGAATCTCGCATAGTTCTTTATGGCAAGATTTATTAAGAAGAATTCCAGTGACTGAATTATACTGTATTTGGCATCAATTTACCCCATGTACATAATGGCTTTGTTTTTTTCTTAATGGTTTTCCCATTATCAGATAAGGACACAGTCTTTTCATTGATAATGGAGAGGCTTGCAACTGACTATTAATCTTAAGAACCTCCTGATTCTTTATCAAGGAAAAAAGATGAGAAGGAGCAAAGATGGAAGAGTAAAATGTATGAATAGAAAACCTACCTCGAGCTTCAATGATGAGAACAGTGAGGCTTAAAATCAGAACAATGCTGTAGAGCTTCATGTTCATTAAGTACTCTTTGTTGCCTGAAGAACTCACCTGTGGGCAAGATAGAACTTTTTTTTTTGAACAAAGTACTATTTTTTTATAAAACGTTTTTTTTATTTTAATTTTGTTACATAATAAAAAATGCTTTTGTGAACAGAATGTTGTCCAGGTTCCCCCTTTAACATTTCCACAAACACATAATTCATTCTACATTATTTCCAATTTTAGCCATATTGCTTTTCTTCTCATATTTGCCTATTTCTAATTTTTAACATTTATAAACAATATCATTTTCCTTCTCTTTAAAAATAAACCATCTTATCATTTCTTTTCCATCTGTTTTCTATTAGTAATACGTCTTCAAATTCAATTTTTATATGGTCAGCATTCTGACATAATCACTTTACTCATTTAGAAGTATTAATATAGCTCACAGAACATCCTAATTAAAACATACTATTACTTTGTTTACAATATTTCATTTCATTCTACTAGATCATATCATTCTACTAAACTCCTATTCCTAAATTTTCTTTTCTCTTTTTCTTCTTTTTATATGTCTTATATCTTTTCTTCTGAATTTTTTCTATCACTTTTTGATAGATTGTTTGGATATTTCTCCCCCAAATTTCTCTTTCCCATCTCCCATTATTTCTCTCTTTATTTTTGGCTAATTTTTTTTTCAGATACTGTTTTCCTCTCTACTCTATTTGTGCCTCTATAAATCTCTCTAGTATTGACCCATTGAGTTTTGTTTTCCATTTCTTTTTCTACCTGAACAAGGTACTATTGAATGATGGCTACTTTCCTACTGCTGCTCTTTCCCCTGCTGAATATGAGATTAAAACATTCAGTGCAATTATTAATGCTCCACTTGATTTATTCCCCAAATTATTCTTTTTCATTTCGTTTGCCCACACTCCCTTGCTGCGCCTTAACAAATTACATTTTTTGCCACAAAATCACCAAGACTGGGAGATTGAGCTACCTGTTTGCCAAGAAAGTTTGCCACTAGATCCATTCATTAAAAGAAACAAGAAAACAAAAATAAAATGAAATTTCTATGGACTCTCAAGTTCCTTTCAACTTTCCAGGGTTTCTTCAAAGATAGTTAGCCTTAAAACCTCCAACCAGATCAGCACGGATGAACGGCAGAATCACAATTCTAATTAATTATCTACCATCAGAGAGAACTGTTCTGGTTTCTCTTTATATCGTAGACCAGTATCATCTTTTGTAGAGAGAAATGAGAAAAGATAGAAGAGACAAAAACAGTAGACTTACCACATCTCTCCCCCAGAGAAATTCTCCATACATGTATCTTAGAATTCCAGATCAGGCCAGTTAGACATGACACTAAAGTCCCTGATTCTGTGAGGCTGACCCTCAACCTCCATTAGCTGTCAGATCTCAATAAGGAACGTACTTGTGTTCACTTCCCCACCAGGGGTGTTGTTTATTTGTCTAATGACTTTGTGGGTTTTGTTATTAGAGCAAATAATAGAGTGAACTCTCTTGATTTAATATTTTTAAAATATCTCCTTTACTTTTGAATAATGACCAGAATTTACTGGAGATGGGCAGCAAATAAATTTAAAATTATTACATTGGTCATACAGTCAGCTAAATGATTAGATTGGATTTGACCTTTTTATTCACCTCTCAGAATAACGGAGTTGGAAGGGGTCTTGGGGTTCTTCTAGTCCAACCCCCTGCTCAAGCAGGAAACCCTATACTAATTCAGACAATTCCAAGGAGACCATTAGTTGTAGTTCCACCTTAAACACAAAGCCAACTGGGTGATCTTGGACCAGTCATTCATTCTCATTCCTAGGAAGCAGGCAATGGCAAGCCACTTGTGTAATTCTGTAATTTTGTCTAGGCGGTTGCCAGGAATCAACACTGACTCAAAGACATTCATGAAAACATACACAAAACAGCAATAAAAGCAGTTTGTATGTATTGATATTTTCTCTCAGAGAGAAAAAAAATTGTTAAGGAAAACCTTTAAAAACATAACAATATTTATTAATTAATAATAAGCACTCACCTTCTCAATTACTTCTTCTCTTCTTTTTGCTGATAGTTTCAAACAATACAATTAGTAATGAAGGATTAAGGTTTTTACTCCATGTTACCATCACTGCCAATTAAAACTTTTCATAACTACAGGAATCTTCATCTATGTTCCAAAGATGAATGAAACGTGAATCGCTTAACCATACAGTTTGCATGTTGATCAGTTTCTGGTGAAGTTTCATTTGTTTCTTTCTGTTTTCCTTTTCTCAAAGTAGTTTCCTTTTTTTTAAGTAGTCTTTCAACATCTCTTTTGCTTACGGAAGAGAAACTAAATGTTTCATGTTTAAAATAATTGCATAACATTTTTTAAAAAGTATTGTATTTCATTGAAAAATTTATAGCAAGGTGTCCAGCCTTTGGTCGATGGGCCACATTGCAGCTAGTCATGTGACCCCAGAAGACTTCAAAAAAAAGTTTGTTTTTCCTACACATTATATGGCATATTTACACTATAGGGCATATTTTATAGGCAGCCCAAGATAATTCTTCTTCGCTCAATGTGGCCCAGGCAAGTCAAAAGGTTGGCCATGCCTGATCTAGACTCTCTATTATAATAAAAGTATAATTTTATTGGACAAAATGATTGGACAAAAATGTGATGTGATTTGCGATATTTACATAGATAGCACAGATTGTATTGTTTATACCATTTCTTAATGATATCAACATTCAAGTGACAAAAGTTGCAACATTAGAGTCACTAAAATGAAATAGGTTAGAGAGATTTTGGGCAGTCCTTTTTTCACAATTGTCTATTAAAATGAGGTTTCAAAGCATATCATTTTTTACAAAAAAAAATCCACATAGAATATGCTATGTACATATTCATTCAGAATCTACCAGTTTTTATCAAGTTATTAATCTAAGGTTACAATTTCAAAGAACAATTCTGAGTTAAATGATAAGTTGTTTAAAGACTGATAAAGTTCATTATCTTGGTTGTGTAAACATATTATAACTAAATAAATAGTTATTATATAATCATTCATAGGAGGGAGGGAGGGAGGGAGGAAGAGAGAGAGATGCGTTGTTAGCATCTGTGAGCACTGTGAATCAAACAAGTGTTACCCTGATTTCATTGAGTAGTTCACTTCTGAACATCTCCTTAGTGGCCTACTATATTCTCTTCCCTAGTGAACTTTTAAAACATTTCTTTTAAGTTAAAAAACTGAATCAGAAATCTGGCCTACTACAAAATAAAACATCTGTTTGGGTTTTATAATGACCTGACTCCATTAAGCAACAATAACTTAATTTATTTACAAGAACAAAATTGTACAATTGCTTGCATATCTGAATTTGTTAAAATACTCTCTCTAGCAGCTTATTTTCTTCCAGGTTTCTTCTTTGTCATATATTGTATAGACCTGGCTTCTCCTTCTTTCCTTGTTCACTAACTAGCATCAGAGTTCATTACATTGCTTTTCCATTCAATCATGAACTTTCAAAAACCCAGTATATAGCATGCATGTTTTCAGTGTCTTAATTCTGAGGTGATGAATAGGCTGGCAATCACATCTAATAAATTTGAAGATCATTCTGCCAGAATAATAATAATAACAATAACAACAATAACAATAACAATAACAACAACAACAACCAATGATTAAGGAAGTTAATAAAGGAGGCCTTTTAAAGACAACTAAGTCAAAAGCTGAATATAAGAAAGAAGTAATTGAGAANATTCGTATTTATGCTGGTTTCAGTGTCCTGGGGTGACCTTTTGACAAAAAATAAAATTTTTATTATCAATGGTGTCCCTCTTTACCAATCTGAAAATCTGGTCACCTTAGTGATAACTGATCTATTCTCTAACTAGACTCCTGAAATCAAGGACAAACTAGACTCTTGAAAAGACAGGCAAAATTCAGTATTTAGTGGCGTGGAAACATTTCCCACCTGTGGACACTCATTATGTAAGAGCTCCAAAATGTCTCCAGAAATTCTATGACAAATACCCAGATAAGTCCTACTGAAAAGCAACTAATTATGTCTGTTTTCTTTCCCCTCCCTCTTTCCATACAGGCCTTTGGCATTGCTTGCCAAAACAACTAGACACAAAGCGTTTTTTCCAGCACTGTTATGCCTAAGGATACTTAGCCACATAGTACTTAGCCTTGTTATTATCCTCCTCATATTTCCTACTACTTCTCCTATGATTTATCACTTTGTTGTCTTATGATTCATGATTTGTCACTTTGTTGTTTGTATGCTTATGCACCGGAGACAAATTCCTTGTGTGTCCAATCACACCTGGCCAATAAAGAATATTTTGTTGTTTACTGTTCTGATATTCAGTAACAATTATTGGATCCTTTTCTGCACTCTTCAATGAACCAAGCCATGCCGGGCAGGGGGGGGGGGAGGCTCTCCCGTCTTTGGGTGCTGTGGGAACCTGTTCAATCACTGCAGGCTCAGGCCAGCCAAGCGCTTCCATTCCAAAACCTTGAGGAAAGCATTATTCCGTTATGAATAACGGAAGAGGGAGCCGAAGAGGGCGACTTTCTTCAGACCCGCCCTGGGCGAGTTGGTCGTTTTTGCGGGAGGGGTGTGTGTGAGTTGCGTACCCTGGGCCCAACCCGACAGAACCGAAAGCGCCCCCGAGCTGAAGCCGGGCTCCCCACAAGGCACCGAGGGCAGAGCCTGCAGCGGACGGGGAACGATCCGCATCTCGCCGAGCACCCGCCCCCTCCGAAGGACTACCGCTCCCGGCATGCCCCGGGGCCGTGGGCGGGGCTCCGTGCGCAGGCGCACCGCTTCGCCTCTTGCCATAATGCGGCGGCGGCGGCGACGGGCGGGGGAGGCCGAGTCGCTCCTAAATGGCGCCCAAGCAAGACCCGAAGCCTAAATTCCAAGAGGGTGAGAGGCGGCGCGGCCTGGCGGGGGCGGGCTTTCCCCTTTGGCCGCGGGGCGGGCGGGCGGGCCACCCTCCCTGCCTCCCTCCGCGGCTCCCGCGCCGGCCCGGCCCGGCCACTAACGCCCGTTTCCGCGCAGGTGAGCGGGTGCTGTGCTTCCACGGGCCTCTCCTGTACGAAGCCAAGGTACGTGGCGGCCCTTCCTTCGCGCCCACCCCGATGGGAGGCCGCCGGGCTGCCCCGGGCTGCCGGCTCGGCCGGGCGCGGAGGAAGGCCGCGGGCCTCCCCGGAGCCGAGCCCTGCCTGGCGGCCGCCCCCCTAACACCTCTCCTCCCCCCAGTGCGTGAAGGTGGCCATCAAGGACAAGCAGGTGAAGTACTTCATCCACTACAGCGGCTGGAACAAGAAGTGAGTCCCCGCGACCCCCCCCCCCCGCCTCCCCCTCCATCCCCTGGCTCGCTCCGGGGCGCCGCCCGGGCCT